GAAATGGAAATTCACGAAGAGTAGCGGTTTGTATGTATACGTCTCTCACCGTAAGCGCGGCCTTCGAATAAGACAAGACAAGAGAAGAAGAGAAATGGAAATTCACGAAGAGTAGAGAGAGAGAGAGAGAGAGAGAGAGAGAAACGCACGAGCTATAGGGAGAGACATAGCGAGTAACCAATAAGAAATAGATTCGCGCGTGTACCCTCCGCGGTTGTCAATTGTTTTTTGAAAGTAATACGCTGTACTCTGTGTACGTATCGACTACTTAGTCAAATCTGGAATTAAGGCTAATCGATAAAACTGTTTATGTCAAGTGCGAGCAGAGCGACGTTCACACCCATCCGTATACGTTGTAATCACAGCGCTGTCTACTTCTACTCTATCGTTAGGCTATAAGTAGGTAGGAGACGCAAAAGAAATTTTAGCCGATAAAAAAATACAAAAAGACCTTTTACGCCAGAGGTACGATCGCGAGAGATCTATTAAGTAATTCGCGGTGATTCGATTTAACAATGGCGGCGACTAATCGCACCACGCATTTTTAAATCTTTTGCCTTACGAGTCGCGACATCCTCGACGCATTTGAAGAGTCGAGTGTGTGAAAGGAGAAAGAAAGGACAAAAAAATAACAGTAATTTAACTCTTCCTAAAACTTGCAAAGTGCCATCAATTGACACCTTTATTAATTATTATACTTCGCGTACATCTGCCACTTTTTTACTCGCTAAGTGTTAGTGGATTCTTTGTAAAACCCACCGTGGATGTACTTCCGGGCGTACCTCGTAACGAGTTCAAGTCGAGTTTCCATAGGAGCGACAGAAGTTTCAAGAGCCCTGTCGCTCTCTTGCGATTTCCATACGAAAGTAGCAAGCTCATCGAAGCGACGTTATATTTCGGGGATTTTCATTCTCTCAATTGTATTGTACGGAAGCGTCATGACTTTGTCATCGGCGACGCGAAGACCCTCGTCTTTTACTTGTTACTTGTAATTTAACGTCTTCGGTGACGAGTCATTCGAATCTCTATGGATAATTGTTATTTATTTGTATATAATATGCGTTCGCCATGGATTCTCGTTCGAAACGAGACGCTCGAGTAATATACACCTAGTACTAGATGAAGGAGTCGCGTGTACAGTGGCCAGCTGAATTAACGGGATACGAGGGCGACGAGGGTCTCCGCGACTTTTGCACCGTTCTTCGAGCGAAAGATTAAAGAACGGTGAGAAAAGTTTGGAAATTTGAAAATTTTTAAAACTGTGTAAGACAAGCGCCATTCTCGATTTCCGAAAATTGTAATTTAACAAAACCAGTCAATTTGCTGTAGTTTGTGACCGGTCAAGAGTTGCGACATTGATTAATGCATATTATGTAATTGAAAACGCCAAGAAAGCATTCGGATACAAAAATCTAGCGAAAGTAACGAATAAGTTGGTGGAGGAGAAGAAACTAGCGAAAGGGGACGAACGGACGTTTTTCATTAGAATCCGCAATAAGAGGAAAAAGGAAAAAAGACAGTCGTTTATAAAGTATGCTTCTTTTTCTATGGGAATAGTTACAAATCTTATCGTTAGCGATGCGACGTTAATGGCAATTTTTGTGTGGTCCATTAGACGCCTGTAATGCGTATCTCGCTGAGGATGCTGGATTTTGCTCTTTGACATAATTTTGTTTCTTCTTCTTTCCTTTTCTTACGTTTTATTCAAAATAATGAGTACCTCCGATCTCTACCCAAATCGAGGCTCAAGATTTGTTTAGCTGGAGAACGACCCCCTTGCAATTAATTTCCATTTCAAAAAGACCGACCCAAACTGAAGGCTCGATACTTTTGCATTATAGTACAGCATCTTATTGCCAAGTTAATATCGTCATTGATGTTTCTTCTTCTTTGTTTGTATTTTCTGTTTTTCTTTTTTTTTTATATTAACATACATATACAAGTGTATGTATATATAAGTTTAGAACTTAAAAAAATCGAATAGCCATTCGACAGAGTTTAGCGACGGTTCGCAATTTATGTGAAGACTGTGAGAAAATGCCGTCGACGAAGAATGGCAGCCAATTGCGTCGGGGGGTAATAGCAAATTCAAAATTGTCTGTTCAAAGGTGAGGGGAAGACTGTGTAAAAAAAAAAAGACGAAAGGCGAGAAAGGTATATATGATAAAAAAGCAAAGCTGACGGGCTTGATAAGATAGGAGAGAATAAAAAAAAAAGCTCTGGGCGTCGCGAATCGCTGTTGAATGAAAATGAAATCGCGATACGAATATCGCGAAATTGTAATATTTGTATATAGCCAATGTTACTTGTGGTATATTAAAAGAAAACTGACGACCATTTTATTATAAATAATGAATGACTTTCTGTATGCGTTACGTTGTTGTACCATATTATTGTGAACACCATTTCTCAAACATCGATTTTTTAAATAAAAAAAAAGGGAGAACCTCTTTCGATACCCTAACATTAAGGCTGACTCGAATCCAACCGTAGAGTTATGTGACGTCACGATTTGTAATATATTGTCTCACCTAGGAATTCTGTAACTTGGATCACAGCTTGACTCCCCGTCGACGCGGTCTTGTCGCGTCGCAATTTCCAACTGTCCTGTATGTGCGTGAGGAAAAAAAAGAAACTTAGCGTAACCAGCTGTATCCAGCTGTAAGTGAGAGACTGCGAGTGCGTGAGCGAGTGCGTGAGTGAAATACTTTTTCGATAATGTAAAACGCACAAGATTAACTGTTTACGTGTTTTATCCATGTTTATCATATATTTCCATTATCACTGGTGCATCCAGAGTGTCCCTGGATACGTGTTTTTGAGGAATCGTCGCCAGGATCGCCTGCGCGCTGCGTCCTCGCTGTATATTTGTAATAAATGGAGCATGGTTACTTAAGCTTTCGCCTCGAGAGAGAAGCTGAGGTAAAGAGTTTAGAATATTTGAAAAGAAAATAAAAGGACAAATCGTGAAGTAGCTCGTAGCCAGCGTGCAAGCACATGCCTTCCGTTTCTGTTTTTTGTTTACGTAAAGAAGAGAAAAAAGTTTTAAAAGTATCTCCGGCGGATGAGCGAAATTACCTCATCTTCTTCGATCAATCAGTCAAATTATTTATTAGCGATTCGTATTGACATGTGATTTTGTGATGGGTTAATCCCTCAAGATTCTGGAATTGTCTTCCAAGAGTGAAAATTCTTTGATAACGATGGACGACATGTGCATGGACTCGTGCACGTGCGTTTTTACCATTGTTGCTGTGCTCGGCTATGTGCGACCACGTGTCCATGCGTATAGACTCAGACACGTGTTGGTGCGTGACCACGTGACTTGAAAATTTACGAGAATCACAGAGACGTTTCGTATGTTTCGTCGGTAGAGCGAAGGTAGGGTTTAGTAATAAACTAGTTCTAGGAATTTCGAAAATCCGTCTTTTGTGAGAATTTATAAGGAACTAGGCTGCATTAAATATCTTCAATCTTCGAAGATTTTCTAAGCCGCGCGTGCGCGAACGCACGCGTCTATCCCCTGTGAGAATTCATTGAACATTCCCAATCCTAGATCGATCCTCTCGCACTAAATGTTCCGGCGAGAATGATCCTGGTCCGGTTGTCACTCAGGATACGCGAAGGACGCGTTTGATCCTTTTGAACCTGGCAAGAGCTCCTCCAGGGTCGGCCTGAAGTCCACCGAAGGCTTCCTTGTACTCGTTCGCGAGTTTTGGACTCAGCTCCTGGGAGCTGCCTACTAGCGACGCCACCGACTCCATCTTGTTCTCATTGGCGGGTTCCAGCAGGGCGCGCTTCCTTCTTTTTGAATCGAATCCGCCGCGTTTACGTCGCATCGCGTTACCAGCTTCGCGATTAGCGAACAAGTAACTTCCGGGGTACTCTGCTGGGCTATCAGCTTCCTGAGGCTGGACCAGACTCGAGTAGGAATCAGGGTAGACTCTGCTGTGAAGATTGGAGGTGCTGTCCTCGAAGCCGTTGTCATCGAACTCGTTCCCGTCGTCATTCTCGTCGTCCAGCTGAGGTCTGTACCTCAAGGAGGATCCGCGACGTCTGGAAGCTGCAGCACCGGATCTTCTGCTTCTCTCGTATCCTGGGGCATTCCTTTTGATCCGGGATGAATCCATACCCGATGGATTCAGCTTGAGATTTGGGTCCAGCATGAGGTCCGATGGAAGATCATCCTGGATGCTGACTTGGGCCTGTTCCGGGATCATGATGGGTCTCTTGCTTTTACGCTTTCTTCGATTTTTCAGCGGTTCACTCTCGACCAACGTCACGCGTCTTGGCACCTCACGTTTTTTTACAAAAAATTTATTCTCGTCTCGAGAATCCGAAACGTCACTTTTCAATGGCGTCGATCTTTTTCGAATACTTTCGTGCAGCAGGTGAGCCTTCTCGTAGACGCTGGGGTCGAGTTTATCCACTTTTTCGATTTCTCGAAGCTGTTGCTCCACGTTGGGATTTTCTGATCTTGCTGCTCTTTTGGAAATGCGTCTTCTTGATCTTTCAAGAGGTCTCTTGGAGGCTACTTGTCTTGCAGATCTCTTTGAGGCCTGCTGCTGTTGCTCTTCCAGTGCAGTGTCCAAACTTTGGGAATTCTCATCCTCGTCCTCTTGGCTCTGCAGCTCGTCGTACTTTTCATTGTTTTCCTCAATTTCTCGAACTTTCTGCTTCTCCTCGACTTCGCGTTTTATCTCTTCCTTTATCGAATCGATTTTTCTCTGAATCTGTCTTTCCACCCTTTTTTCATAATCAGCCTCGGATTCCCCATCCTTAGTATCCATATCCACGTTTCCTTCGTCTGATCTTACATTTTCAAAAGCGTTCTCGTTTTCCAAATTTGATTCTGATTCCTTGTCCTTCGAGGTATTTCCGGGTTGTTCTTCGGATTCCTTGGACACTCCCTTTTCGTTAACTTCTTTTCTCTCTCTTTTCGAATCCTCGCTATCCTTCGTACTGTCCAAATTTTGATTTCCAGAATTTTTCGAAATTTCCAAATTACTATCGCCACTCGCAGCAGGCTCGTCATTCAAATTTTCATTATTCTTTCCGCTATCGAATTTCATACTTCTCTTTAAATCCTCACTAGGCTCCCTCGATTCACCCTGATCAGGGTCACTCTTCAAACTATCTTTTTTCTCTTGATTTTCATCCTTCGAATTTTCCAAAACTCCTCCGGTACCTCTTTTCAAAATTTCACCCTCCTGCTCCTCCACGTTCTCACTGTCTCTCTCCCTATTCACCAATTTGGCAGTCCTCGCCTTATCAGAATTCCTTAAGGCTTCCTCATTGCCCGATCCCGGATCTTGTTCAAGCTCACTAGTAAGACCAACGGAATTCCTTACAGCATCCCGATCATCAATTTCCTCGTATTCCTCCTCCCTGTCAACATCCCTCTTAACAATCTTCGCTTCAGGATCACCATCCAAGGATACACGATCACTGTCAATCTTCTCCAAACTTTCATCTGACGATCTAGCATCGTTACCTGGAGCATCCCCTTTATCAGATTGTCCAACAGTCTCGTCATCAACTGCGGATGGTCCATCGTCGTCATAACTACCGTCATCAGATTCCACACGAGAATCATCAACAGGACCATACTCCCCGTTATCCTGATTGACCTTATCGTTCAGGTTGGACAACTGAACTCGTGAATCCAAAGATCCTTTTTGGCTAGCAGACGATATCTTTCGATTAGGAGATCGTTTTTTCGATGATCGCGCGACGTTACGCTTTTCCTTAACGTTAACAGATTTTCTTCTTCCGCTGGTATCGCTAATCAGCTTCACGTCAGAGTTCTCTTCTTGTTTTTCTGAACCGGAAGCCGCAGGATCATTATCGGTCGCGTCTCTCTCGCCCCTCGAAGGATTGATCTCGTCGTTGGATCTTTTTTTACGATTTAAAACCACTCTCTCAGTTTCATCTCGATGGTCCATATCGTAATCGGCATTCTTATCTTGATCCTTTTTTCGAGCGGCAGCCAATTCATCCTTTAGAATATTCCCACTGTTTAAACCGAATTACATCAATGATAAATCTAACGAGTAACCGAACCGACCTCACAATTTTAACGTACCTGTACGAGTACTCCTGACTTTTCCCAGCAAGAACATATGGAATCACGTTAAGAAGAATCGACAGCAGGCAAACGTAAGCAAAGCCGATTCGAAATCGTTTTCTCATCGTTTTAGGACGTTGTCAGGATCATCTGTACCTTATCAGCTGGATCACATTTAAACCTTGTCAATCTAGTAATCGTACAACAGCTTTTCACGTCAGATTGATATGCAAAAAGGTTCTGACGCTTTCTGACATTTTCACCAGGAGAAAACAGCAAACAACGGAATTGCGTCTAAAAGATAGAAACATATCGCTGTTAATAGACATTCCTTTATTTATTATTTCATGAAAATCCAGCACGTGGGACAACATAATTTTCCATACCTCTTAGCATATGCACTGAAGCCGTATGCAACTGGAACACGGAAGTGTACAGATAAAGTAAGTCGATCGTTAGGAAAATTCCTTTATTCAGCGAGAGATACAAGTAAATAAACCAAAAAAAAAGCTTGTTAACAAAACTCTTAATACGTGACAGTATTAAAAGAAGAAATATTAATTCTCAACGGAGTAACGAGTAAATATACATATATTTATGTAGGCGCGTACGTGCGTCCATTGGCGATGCGTCTATATTGTCTCTGGTATAAAATACAAAAATAAGCCTTAACAAAAATTAATATTGCGAAACGGCGCTACCGGGCAACTGTTAATTAAACGTTACGCCAACAAGGAAATGCGGGGTACGATAAAGTATCTGGAAACAAAAAAAGTCACATGTGTATTCATGTGCATTTATATATAAAACGGAAACGAAAAAAAAAAACGTAAATTCATATATAGCATAGGGTGGCAATAACATTGCATAATACGAAGTACGGTGAATGCTCGATTATGCTATATAAAAAGAAGTGTGGCTTGACTATATATGGTAAGCTGGGCATCGATTCACCAAGACCTCGTGGTCCAGGTCGACCTTATCGCGGATATTTAAGCTCTAGTTATTGCTTCGTAATACACGTGGCTTAATGTGAAAATGAACCCTAAACTTTCGTCAATATTCGCCGCTTTGACTGCGGGAGGAGAATTACGAGAAGTCGATACTCGTGATACGACAGAAATTAAACGCGGTATCATATTTTTCATTTACAGCATCGTCCCTTTTCTTTACATCGACGACGACTGATCACCCGAATGTCATTAGAAATTGTCATTTTTTTTTTCAGCGTAATACGAATAACACAAAGCTCTCGACAATGTAGATATAATTGTATATTTTTATGGTGTATATATATATACGCCTCTGTAGTATAGTGTATATATCTCTAGTATATATATAAATATAAAATTGAAATGAAAATAAATTTCAACGTAACGCCAGTACAATATCCAGATATCGTAAAGGATTACAATCAACAACCATATAGGCGCCATCGATTAGGCCCAACTACTCTTGATAGGCGTAAACGTAACGTATCCTAATTACTAAAAGATACATCTCTAGTCGTTCGTAGGCATCACAGATTATCACAGTCCAGGTAGAAACGGGACTTTTCTTTCGCCATGTTCTCTTTCCACTCCCCGCCACCCACAATTCTCGCTAAACAATAACGTCCAGCATACAACAACCAAATCAATTTGAAACAACCGGCATGTAAAACTTATGCTTCTGTGTGTCACGCGTGTGCTTGAACGGCGCTTGTTTCGTTTCTATCAGAGCAGCTGGACAGGGTCCCTTGTGTCTGGGTACATACTCCCTCTTGTACATGCTGGAAGAAACGTTGCTGCCGTCGCCCAGACTAATATGAGAGACGTTAGACTGCCGATGGGCGCGCTCGACTTTCTGAGTTGCGAAGTTTCCATAATTCTTGGCTTCGCTGTGCGAGTAGAATTTCCCACCGACCGTCAGGTTGTCCTGACGAACGATTCGCTGAGGTCGCTCGTAGGTGGACGAAGCCCAAGGATTCCCGTCCTTGGTGCTGCGATGGAGGGAGGTCAGGCTGCGCCTGTCGCTGCTCTGGCTGGAATTGCTGATGTACTGTCCACTCTCGGCCAGGTTGGAGATGCTTTTTCTTTGATCTGCCGCGGTCGACGAGATCGTGTGGAGTGCTTCGGTCGATGACGTCACGCCCCGCCTGTGCAACACGGAGTTGCTCACGTCCGCCGACGATGACGATATTACGTTCTTCCTGTGATGACTGGTCTTCGTTGCTGATTCCAGCCGACTCTGACTGGTCTGATCGGACTGATTGCTCATTGCTTGGCGAAATTCGTTGCTGCTCGAGCGGCCTGTGTTGTAGCGCGCTTGACTCGATACCGTGTGCTGACTGTGCTTCGAGCTTTGTCGGGTTGAGCTGCTTTGACGGTTCTCGACGTGCTGACTGTTCACGTAATCCCTGCGGCTGCTCTCTTGAAGCTGCTGTTGTTGTTGCTGTTGTTGCTGTTGTTGCTGCCTGTGCGCCTCTTGGCTGCTGCTTGTCCTGCTTTCGAGAGCCTGTCTGGTCGTTGTTGCGTCATCGCGGATTATTTGGTTATGAGCGTGACGGTTGATGTCGGTGATGGAACGGTTGTCGACCACGTGACGCGTGTTCGAGATGTTTTGCGTTTTCGAATGTTGTTCGTTTATGGATTTCAGGTGTTGTTCCTTGACGCGACGTTGATTTTCCACAGCGGTATATCTGCGCGTTGCGTCTTGAGACGTTTGGCCGTCGGTGATTGACGTCTTGGAGATACGCTGTTGTTGTTGCTGAACTGTCTGACCGGCGATGTGCTGCTCGCCGTGTGTCGTTGTTGTTGTCTTGGTTGTGGTAACCACTGATCCGTCAGCCAATGTTTTAGAATCGACGGCTACAGTCTTTTTGCTATCGGATTCTAGGTTGCTTATCTTGGCAGCGATATCCTTTCCAGTACGCTTCGTGTATGTGTTGTAATTACGTTGATTGGTCGTCATCATGACGGAAGTGTCGTCACCAAGTGATATGGATGATTCCATGTGACGTCTGTTGTTGACGGGTTTACCAGCTGGTGAAACTTCCTTCCTGGTCGGCGTGAACGTATCCCTGGAGGTTGTTTTGGTCTCCATGGTACCTGCGTTCACTTTGAGGTTATCCTCGTGTCTCTTAATTTCAGCACGCTCTCCGCGGATAACTGTGTACGTCGACTTTTGAGACGTCGTGTCTTGGAACTCTCCAGTCATCTTCAAGTTATCCTCGCGCCTGACGACTTCCGTTCTCTCTGCTCTCTTTGTCGTGAAGTCATCCCTTGGTCGCCCTACGAAATCTCCCTCGGGTTTGAGGTTGTCAGGATGGCGAATTGGAGAACGGCGTTCTCCAGGTCCGACCTTGTCCGGTGACCTTCTGTCGAACTCTCCTTCGGGATAAAGATTGTCCGGATGCTTTATCGGGCTCCTTCTCTCGCCAGGACCAAGTGGACCAGTCTTACGAGGCCTATCGAATTCTCCCTCAGGACGAAGATTGTCTGGATGCTTCTTGATTGCTGCACGTTCGCCAACCACGTGAGTGTAATCTTCCCTTCGGCGAACGTCGATAAAGTCACCCTCTATTTTCAAATTATCCTCGCGCTTTCTGATATCCACTCTTTCGATCTTTTTAATTTCCTTGTAATCGTCTCTAGAACGTCTGACGTCTATCTCGCCCTCCATCCTCAGGTTATCCTCATGACGTCGAACCTCAACGCGTTCTCCGTTGATGTACTTGTAATCGTCCTTCGACGAAGGACTTATTTCCATAGTACCTTCCGGTTTGAGATTATCCTGTGGCTTCCTAACTGGAGCACGCTCACCCTTTTTAGGACTGAAGTCATCCTTGGGCTGAATGTAAAAGTCTCCCTCGGGATGAAGATTGTCCTCGTGGCGTATTGGTGTCTGCCTTTGAGACGGTTCGAATTTCGCGGGTGTAGGTCTCTGAAATTCACCTTCGGGCTTGAGGTTGTCAGGATGACGAATTGGAGTACGACGTTCGCCTGGACCGACCTTACTTGGACTGGGTCTTTCGAAATCACCCTCCGGACGGAGGTTATCTTTAGGTTTCTTAATATCCGCGCGCTCTCCTCTCTTAGGAGCTTCTTCTCTTGGTCTTCCAATGAAGTCTCCCTCAGGATGAAGGTTATCGGGATGCTTGATGGGACTGCGTCTTTCCCCAGGACCAACTGGACTCTTTCCTGGCCTCTCGAAATCACCTTCCGGATGGAGGTTATCCTTGGGCTTTTTAATGTCAGCACGTTCACCTCTTTTAGGAGCTTCCTGTTTGGGTCTGCCAATAAAGTCTCCCTCGGGATGAAGATTATCAGGATGTCTGATGGGAGTACGCCTTTCACCAGGACCAACTGGAGCCTTTTCAGGTATATCAAATTCACCTTCAGGTCTCAGGTTATCCTTGGGCTTCTTCACGGCTGCCCTATCACCCTTCGTAGGTGCCTGCTCCTTGGGTCTACGTACGAATTCACCTTCAGGCTTAAGATTATCGGGATGCCTAATAGGGGTCCTTCTCTCAGCAGGACCAACCGGTGACTTTTCTGGTCTCTCGAAGTCTCCTTCCGGTCTGAGGTTATCTTCGTGCCTGATGATCTCAGTGCGTTCTCCACGAGTTACATTGTAGTCATCCCTGCGACGGATATCTACGAACTCACCCTCGATTTTCAAGTTATCCTCTCGACGAATAACGTCAACACGCTCCACCCTGGTGGCACTGTAATCGTCCCTGGACCTGTACGTGTCGATATCACCCTCCATCTTGAGGTTATCCTTGTGGATGACGACCTCTGTCCTCTCACCGCGAGTAGGCTTGTAATCATCCTTCGGCCTGCCAATGAAGTCACCTTCGGGTTTAAGGTTATCCTTAGGCTTCTTCACGTCAGCCCTCTCACCCTTCTTCGGAGCTTCCTCCTTAGGGCGACCAATGAAGTCTCCTTCCGGTTTTAGATTATCAGGATGCTTGATAGGCGTTCTTCGTTCAGCAGGACCAACCGGAGTGTGCTCAGGACGCTCGAAGTCACCTTCAGGTCGTAGGTTATCTTTGGGTTTCTTGACGTCAGCCCTTTCACCCTTCTTCGGCGCATCCTCCTTTGGTCTGCCAATGAAGTCACCTTCAGGCTTGAGGTTGTCGGCGTGCTTTATCGGTGTTCTTCTCTCGACAGGTCCTACAGGTTTCTTGTCGGGTCTCTCAAATTCTCCCTCGGGATGCAGGTTATCCTTGGGTCTTTTAATGTCTGCCCTCTCACCCTTCTTCGGGGCTTCCTCTTTGGGACGTCCAATAAATTCACCTTCAGGCTTCAAGTTATCGTCGTGCTTGATGGGCGTTCTTCTTTCTGCAGGTCCTACGGGTTTCTTTTCAGGACGTTCGAACTCTCCTTCCGGTTTCAAATTATCTTTCGGTTTCTTAGCTTCCGGACGTTCAGCGGGACGATATTCCGCATGATCAGGGCGTTCAAATTCTCCTTCAGGTTTAAGATTATCAGCATGTTTAATGGGTGTTCTTCTTTCTGCAGGTCCTACGGGTTTCTTTTCAGGACGTTCGAACTCTCCTTCCGGTTTCAAATTATCTTTCGGTTTCTTAGCTTCCGGACGTTCAGCGGGACGATATTCCGCATGATCAGGGCGTTCAAATTCTCCTTCAGGTTTAAGATTATCAGCATGTTTAATGGGTGTTCTTCTTTCTGCAGGTCCTACGGGTTTCTTTTCAGGACGTTCGAACTCTCCTTCCGGTTTCAAATTATCTTTCGGTTTCTTAGCTTCCGGACGTTCAGCGGGACGATATTCCGCATGATCAGGGCGTTCAAATTCTCCTTCAGGTTTAAGATTATCAGCATGTTTAATGGGTGTTCTTCTTTCTGCAGGTCCTACGGGTTTCTTTTCAGGACGTTCGAACTCTCCTTCCGGTTTCAAATTATCTTTCGGTTTCTTAGCTTCCGGACGTTCAGCGGGACGATATTCCGCATGATCAGGGCGTTCAAATTCTCCTTCAGGTTTAAGATTATCAGCATGTTTAATGGGTGTTCTTCTTTCTGCAGGTCCTACGGGTTTCTTTTCAGGACGTTCGAACTCTCCTTCCGGTTTCAAATTATCTTTCGGTTTCTTAGCTTCCGGACGTTCAGCGGGACGATATTCCGCATGATCAGGGCGTTCAAATTCTCCTTCAGGTTTAAGATTATCAGCATGTTTAATGGGTGTTCTTCTTTCTGCAGGTCCTACGGGTTTCTTTTCAGGACGTTCGAACTCTCCTTCCGGTTTCAAATTATCTTTCGGTTTCTTAGCTTCCGGACGTTCAGCGGGACGATATTCCGCATGATCAGGGCGTTCAAATTCTCCTTCAGGTTTAAGATTATCAGCATGTTTAATGGGTGTTCTTCTTTCTGCAGGTCCAACCGGAGCTTTCTCGGGTCTCTCGAATTCACCTTCAGGACGTAAGTTATCCTTTGGTATTTTGATATCAGCGCGCTCTCCCTTTTTAGGAGCTTCTTCCTTAGGACGTCCAATAAAATCACCCTCAGGACGAAGGTTATCTTTTGGTTTCTTGACTTCCGGCCGTTCAGCTGGACGATACTTCTCATGTTCCGGTCTTTCGAAGTCGCCTTCAGGTTTCAGATTGTCAGGATGCTTAATAGGAGTTCTTCTCTCAGCAGGTCCAACTGGTGCTTTCTCTGGTCTCTCAAAGTCACCTTCAGGTCTCAGATTATCCTTAGGTCGCTTAACGTCCGCACGCTCACCCTTCGTAGGCCTATAATCATCTTTAGGTTTGCCCTCGAAGTCTCCTTCGGGGCGAAGGTTATCATCATGTTTAATTGGAGTTCTCCTTTCAGCTGGCTGGAAGGGTTGACGTTCCCTGTCAGGAAAATCTCCTTCAGGGAACAGATTGTCAGGATGGCGAACGATTGGTGCTCTTTCACCAGGTCCATAAGGTACCTGTTCCGGTCTCTCGAATTCTCCTTCTGGGTAAAGGTTATCAGGATGTCTGATGGGCGTACGTTTCTCCCCCGGACTGTACTTTTCTTTTGGACGATCCTCGAATTCGCCTTCCGGGCGAAGGTTATCTTTTGGTTTTTTGACTTCTGGTCGATCAGCCTTCTTGGGAGAGAAGTCATCCTTAGGTCTGCCTTCGAAAGGACCTTCTGGCTTGAGGTTATCTTGCGGTCTCTTAACTTCCGGTCGTTCTGCGCGTTTGGGTGAGAAATCGTCCTTTGGTTTTCCTTCAAATGTTCCTTCGGGTCTCAAATTATCTTTGGGCTTCTTCACATCTGCACGTTCTCCTCTGGTAGGTTTATAGTCATCCTTGGGTCTGCCCTCGAATGGCCCTTCCGGTTTCAAATTATCTTCAGGACGCTTAACCTCAGGACGCTCAGCTCGTTTTGGTCCAAAATCATTCTTAGGACGACCCTCGAAGTCTCCTTCCGGTCGAAGATTGTCGTCATGTTTAATTGGTTTTCTTCTCTCTGCGGGCTGGAAGGGCTGACGTTCTCTGTCGGGGAAATCACCCTTAGGGAACAAGTTGTCAGGATGACGAACAATTGGAGCACGGTCACCAGGTCCATAAGGTTCGGGTTTGGGCCTTTCGAATTCTCCTTCAGGATACAAATTGTCAGGCTGTCTGATCGGCTGACGACGCTCACCAGGAGTGTAAGAATCCCGTGGACGATCTTCAAAATCTCCCTCAGGACGTAGATTGTCTTTTGGCTTCCGAACTTCCGGACGTTCCGCTGTTTTTGGTGAATAATCATCCTTGGGTTTTCCTTCGAAAGGTCCTTCGGGTCTTAGATTATCTTTAGGTTTCTTTACATCAGCTCGTTCCCCTTTGGTTGGCTTGAAATCATCCTTGGGTCTTCCCTCGAAGGGTCCTTCTGGTTTTAAGTTATCCTCAGGACGTCTAACCTCAGGGCGCTCAGCCCGCTTTGGTCCAAAGTCATTCTTAGGGCGACCCTCAAAGTCACCTTCAGGACGAAGGTTATCATCGTGTTTCAAAGGAGTTCTTCTCTCAGCTGGTTTAAACGGCTGACGTTCTCGATCAGGGAAATCGCCCTTAGGGAACAGATTGTCAGGATGACGAACAATAGGAGCCCTGTCACCAGGTCCATAAGGTTCAGGTTTGGGTCTCTCAAATTCTCCTTCGGGATACAAATTGTCAGGTTGTCTAATTGGCTGACGACGTTCTGCAGGAGTGTAAGAGTCTCGTGGACGATCCTCAAACTTTCCTTCAGGACGAAGATTATCCTTTGGTTTCCGAACTTCCGGACGTTCCGCTGTTTTTGGCGAATAATCATCCTTTGGTCTTCCTTCAAAGAGTCCTTCGGGTCTCAAGTTATCCTGGGGCCTCTTGACGTCGGCGCGCTCCCCTCGCTTAGGCGAGAAATCGTCCTTTGGTTTCCCCTCGAAAGGTCCTTCAGGTTTCAGATTATCCTTAGGTCTTCGTGGTTCAGGCCTCTCAGTTATCATAGGAATATAATCTTCCCTAGACTTTGGGGTGCCCTCAAAAACACCCTCTGGCTTGAGGTTATCATCTCTCCTGATAACAATAGTATTCCTGTAGTCGGTCTGATCGAAATTCCGATATTCTTCATGCGTCGTAGTGACGTTCTCAATGACATCAGTCCTTCCGTAGTATCTGTCAATATCCTCCTTGGTCCAAGTCTGTCGTCTATGAGGTTCACGATCGACTATCTCGTGAGTATGAAAATCTTCCTTGACATGGGAGGTTCCCTACAAAACAAACAGAAAATAATAATAATAACAAAAAAAAATCTATCAATATATAATAAAACATTTTTAATTCCAGATTCACCCACCGTGAATTCTCCCTCTCCCACAGTGAGATTATCCGTGCGTCTAACGATCTCAGCCCGCTGGATGCTGCGATGATCAATGTATTCTGATCGACTGGTAGTCTCGTCGATGAATTCACCTTCGACCTTCGTGTAAGTATTGCGACGAACGGGACTAGGTCGTTCACCGGGTGCCCCGGTAAATACCAGTTCCGTAGTAGTGACACCTAATAGGATGAAGAAGACCAATTAACGGATTTACAAAAACACCCTAAAAAACTTTACTCCCAAATAAAATTCCCATAATTTCGCAAAAAAAAAAACTGCTAAAAACTTACTGTCGAAATCTCCCTCGGGTCTAAGATTATCCTTTGGCCGTTTGACAGGCGCGCGGTCACCCCTGGTGGGTGCCTCTTCCTTAGGACGACCTATGAACTCTCCCTCGGGACGTAAATTATCCTGGGGCTTCCTAACAGGCGCCCTCTCGCCCTTAGGCGCTTCCTCCTTAGGCCTGCTAACGAATTCACCCTCTGGCTTGAGATTGTCATGTGGCCTCACGGCACGCGGTCTCTCCCCACGTGGTCCCACATAGTCAGTCCGTCTCTCCCCGATGAACTCTCCCTCCAGGTGCAGATGATCCTCATGACGATACGTCACTTGCCTGTCCACGTGCTTCTCGTCGTATTCCTCTCGATAGGAGCTGACCGCATAGACCGGCTCGTGCGGTATTTCGAGATGGTCCTGGGGTAAGTTATGTGGACAGCGGTGGCGGCTGAAAATTTATTTGTCACCATGAATATTAAGGGCCAGTGAATCGTGAGGTATACAAGTCACTTTCAGTCGAGACGTCTCCAGCTCTGATCGATACACCAGCTGAACTAACGTAAGCTTGACCTGGACAAGAGGTAAATCGATTACGTTCATTTTTACACGTTATCGTATCGTACCACTATATAATTCATCAAAAATGACTTCTCTAAGGATCTCCTGTCACTCTTATTCTGCAAGAATGTAGCGCCACGATTCCAGGCGTCTGGTAGATTTGAAAAATTCACGTCCCCCCATCGTTTGCTTTTATTTTCATCAAGTCCTCGACGTGGCAGATCCAAGGCTTTATAAATTATAAAGAACAGAACCTCCAGTGAAAGGTCGTTCAACATCAATTATTTTACATTTAGATATTAACCACGCGATACTCCTGCACCAACTGACGTTTGACATTGCGCCCGAGTCTCTGTAAACAGATCCATTATACAGACCCGTGAACTTCGTGTATCTCGGGGCCACGTTAAAGCATTTCCGACACTGTCCCTATATGTAAAATAAGTATCATGAACACCTGATGATGAATGGTGTCTATTTTTCGAAATAATAACACCTACGAACCCGTCAAATTAGCATAACGGTCAGATCGATCGGTAGTAGGCATCAACCGATTTCTGAGTCACGATGCCGAAGAGGCGTAGGTAGCGAACGTGGGACAGATTAAAGAAAATGAAAATTAATCGATTCCTAAATCGGTAATTCGACCATCTCAGCCACGGGGAGAGACCACGGTCGGAATCGGTAAGTGCAATTTCAATGAAGATTCGGTAAGGAAACTGGACTGTTTCGCGAATCCGCAACACGGCACTTTCGAACGTCTCATAAATATCCGTAAATGGCATCTGCGCATGCGCGATCCAATCGTCAGTTCCAAATCGGTTGACTTATTTAGTGCGGTGTCGCTTCATAAGGCGATCTCGAGGATATCCAGGATCGATCGGCGTACGAATGAAAATTGCCTAACGCTCGTTCGCAATGATCGGTCCCAAGAGATTCCTGATCGGCAATTCTAGGCTAACGTACGATCTGATATTCACTGGTTCGAAAAAAGGTCGACTGCTCGCGGTATCCTTGGGGTCCAGATGATCCTTCAAAAATCCTGACACATATCGCTATGGCATTATAGGGTTCGCCTTGGTGCACGGCGTGTGAGAGACACATGTAGGCAGGTCGCGTCGAATAAGGAAGAGAAGACGAACGGAGTGACGCGATTGGCCAGAATCAACTTGCCTTAAAAGGCGTTGTCTCGCGTCCCACTTTGTTCGAGGATCAGCCAACTATATACTCTGCACTCTCGAGCGAGTGAACTAGCCTTTAATCAGCCTGCACGTATCCCGTGCATTATACGAGCCCTTCGGATACGACTAATGGACGTAAGTTCGTTATATAATCGAAAGCGAATCGTTATCGAGAATTAATAAATTTTTACAGCACAAGGGCGACTGCTTATCGCGTAGTGTGTAACATGATGACTTTTCAAAAAAAACATCTTATCTAGTATTTCGAATTTTAACATAATTTCCTGTCACTTATTTCCAATATACGTAAAGTATAAGATTTGCGCGAGGCTCCACATAAGCAAGTGGTAACTCAGCGTATAACGAGTTATGATTCCAAAATTGACTAGTCAATTGACCCGAGTCAATTCTCAAGAGCAACGGCGCACTGTTACTACGCTCTTTAAATCAGAGGCTGCTCCTCTCTTGCGCCTACGTGGAAGTACGATACTGCGTGGTTCGCGTGTACTCTGGGTACAAATAAAGTAAAGCGAACGAAGGAGGCTGCTGTGAAGGAGACAGGACGGAGGACAAATGAATGACGGTCCGAGACGCCAACGCAAATGTAAACGGGCGTTAAATATTCGCCCACGATTTCTTCTCCTCGTCGGAGGAAAGAGAGTCGTCGCCATTTCCTTCACTCTCGTTGTGTCGTTCAGGTGCGCGAATAATCTTCGAACGATCCGATTATTCTTCTTCAACCAGAGACACGGGACACTGTCCGTGTCTTTTTCGACAAAGACCGACATATTTATTTTCGTCTTTAAACTCACGAGGCCGCGGCATTCGTTTCGGCGATTTCTAACGGATGTTGCGAAAGTTTAGGCCGCTGGCGAAATTATCCGTTACTACTTTTCGGTTGGTATAGTCACGCGTTATTCCATGTACGAATTTTCGAGTCTTCCGTAATACCAGCTCTGATTTCACTTGTCAAGCCGATTTAATTTTTCTTAACGCGAGGTTAGGTCGACCATTCAGTACGGACGTCTGGCGACGCTACTAACCTCGAGACTAACGAACAGACCTGCATGATTGAACGATGGCTTCCTTGGCACAGGATCAAGAGACTCTCCGAGTGAAATCCACCGTATATAACTATATAGTATTGTCGGCGTCGGATATGCCAACCGGAGAAAAGTTAGTGAACGTACAGGGAAAAAAATTCTTGACGACACTATTCTGTTAGGCGTACGTGTAACGCCATATACGATTGCGAGAAACGGCTTCTCTTGAATTATCTTATGAATCATGCATCGCTCATCTTGCCTTGTTCATCGCCTAACATTTCCTGCCGACCAAAACAAGCCAGGATACAAGCGACAGAATCGACACGATCATTACTTCATGTCCGTGCCAAACATATGAGCGACACTCGAAGATTAGCCAATCGCTCGGAGATAAATAAATGTATCTTCGACTGATAACCGATAAACGAAAATATTTATATTTTTTAATCTTTCCACTGCTGGGCTGTTATACCCTCGCCTCCCCCTATTAGAAACTGAGTTTCACTTTCGATTAGATTACAAACGATCGGATCTGCTGCTGATTTGCGATAACGTTATCGTTATCGTTCCAATTTCATATTTTAAGGGTAACGTTCCAAAGGCTCAAAAGACGCAATCAGGCCTACCACTTCGTACAGTCAAGCAAAAGAGTCGCGCTTACCCGCAAGTGCACAGCTCGCAGATGCACTGTTCCTTCAGGGGAATCTTCGAGAGGATATCCTTGGGCGTAGGGATCTTCTCCAGGGGCGTAACGATGTCACCGTCCAGTGAGTCCGGGCTCTGATCACCAGGTCTCCCGGGTTTCTCATCAGGACGGCGCGGCTTTTCTGCGCCCTTGTCATCCGGTCTGCTGGGCTTTCCAGCAGCCGGTCTCTTTTCCTCGGGACGGGTTGGCTTCCCAGCTGACGGCTTCTCCTCCGGACGTGGTCCTTTTCCTGGGGATGCTTTCTCATCCGCACGCCTCGGTTTCCCAGCTGCAGGCTTCTCGTCGACCCGCGAAGGCTTCCCTGCCGCTGGTACCGGCTTTCCAGGTGATACGTAGTCGCGAGACTTGTCTGGGGAAGATGGTCTGCCATCGGATGGTCTAAAACGATAGTATGATTTATGAAATATTTTTATCGGGCAATTTTTACAAAATTTTACGTCATCGGTGATAACGGTATCGAGACTTCGTTATCACTGAGACCGCTCGAGTCTTTATTCTATTAGTGACACTGACCTTCTGGACTTTGGAGCTCCTTCGGATGGTCTCTGCGGCGCATCTTCACGTTGCTGAGGTCGACTCGGCTTCCCTGCAGCTGGAACTGGTTTCGGTTTCTCATCGTCCCGGAGTCCTGGAATTCCACGGGGATAACCGGGTCCTTCGGGTGATGACTTTCTCGGTGATTCACCCGGTGTTCTTGGTCCCGTACTGGTGGTCTTATCGAAGCGGTTTTCGTCGACGACATCTCGCGCTACCATACTAGTCAGCTGCTCTTTGTCAATGAACTCTCTCGTTGATTGGTTGACATCTCGCTGCGAATTTAATTAAGAAGTTTCGTATTAATGCGGGATGCACCTATTTATGTTCGTTATTAACCAGCTGCTAACCATCGAGACTTTCCCGGCGCGGGTTAACCCACGAGGTATTGAGATCTCGTGCGGTATCTCGCTAGTTGAGTTCGCTCTTATCTTACATCGTAGAAAAGAAACACAAGTTCAGACTCTAAGTACGCCGATAATAACAAGACTACAGATATAGTACTCTTAGATGTTCTATTATCGTTACAATTATTCCCCTTGTTAATACTTTGAGAAAGTTTATACTGAATAAAGAAATAATAGATTTTTCGAATATTAAAATTCTTTATAGATGACCGAACCAACATATTTTTATGGTCAACCAAAATTTTGTCATTTTATTTCTACACGTGTAATATGGACTTTCGAAAACGTTCTTTTCACTTTTCGATATTTTTATATGGTCATTAACTGTCAGGGACAAAAACAAGTCTTTCACTTCACACGAACGGATGTGGCTATTGTCCTCTTTTTGGCTTCGTCGTTACTGGGGAATACGGTGCAGTCAGCTATTTTGAGATATTTCGTAATCGAAATTCTCTTTTCTAGGGGTAATCGAATTGTTGAGGCAGTTGGGTGGTGCAACTGCAAAAGGAGATTCAACGAGTAGCGCCGGCACTGTGGATCTATAATTCAACCGTAACGCAGTCAGCTTCTATTTTAATTGGACTGAAGACACGGCCGAGTAAAGTGCATCGGCTGTAGGAAATTAAAAAGCTGATTCTAACGTATAACGGAAGGTACCTTAAGATGTAGATACCATTAAGGGATCGCAAAACTTTCTCTTAAAGCTTCATTCGTATTTTCCTAACGAAACTGCGTTTCGCGATGACGAAAATCGATTTTCTGTCAGGACTAATCGTACATTCTAATCGTATAGTGTAATGCATAATGGTATCACGTACATATGTATACTACGTGTACAGGTTGTTTCAGTTCGAATTACAATGCAATTAATAAACTGTTATCTTCCCCTAGTCAAAACAATATCAATACCTCAAAAATTTTTTTTTTACATCCGGGACAAATATTTCCCCAGAGAGTCAAAGCTAACGTTTAACAATTTAACAAAGGCAAAGGGACCTCGCGCCATTACAATTCGCACTCGACGGAAATTTCCGAGAATTTTAACTATGCATCCTCTCGGATGCGCTTCGACTCTGTAACAGTGAAACTAACCTGTTTCGTTACTCGTCGATGATGCAACAGGATGTGGACAAACAGTAGTAAAGGAATTACGAATATGTATGACAAAAATAGTATTTCCCGAGAATCCACCGACACTCCGAAATTCCCATAAATAATTTAATTAACAATTACGCAAATATAGTTTGCACACACGGCGAGCTACTACCCGTTGCTTCTAACGATTCTAAGGTAAAACAAATTTTTTTAAATTTTATTTTTTATTTTTTTTTTCGAAGTTGGCATCACTGCAATTCTCTACCTGATATCTCTGAGGTACGTTGCACTCTCGCAGACTCCTTTTTATCTTCCGCCCGTTGATACGGGGAAGAAGGATCGAATGACAGAAGCGTGTAACTGCACTTTCGTATCTGCTTTTATACTTGCGCGAATATATTTTATAAATATATATAGCGACAAGTACATATTTACTTCAGCTGAATCTCTAACAAGGTCAGCCATACTGAGTTACGTATTGAGTCTCGCGTGTCTCGATACAAGTGGAGCGTGGACTGTTTGCGTGTTTAACAATCGAAAACAATATGGCTACAGGGCACTACGTGTACAGTCCTATGGTATGGAAGACTCGACGAGTCGTAGTTACGTAACGCGAGAGTAACGTCCTACATCTGTCGTGTTCTATGAAAACGAGACTCGGTTTAAAGTCTCTAGCAAGAAGTATTTACATTTATTCTCGTATATTCAGAAGGTCTTTAAAGCGCGGGAATATTAAATATTTTCAAATCGATATTAAGCTTAGTTATAAATTCACAAAAAATCGCGGAGTTAACATTGAATTTATCATATTAAAAGTTTTGACTGATAATGCAGCGCTTTCAATAGCGAACTGGTATAGAACTTGTAGTTTGAAAAATTTTCAAAGTTAGCATAACCATTTCGAAAAATGGGAAAAATATTTTTGATTAAAAACTTTTTCCATCCTGCCAGTACACGGTGCAACAGTTTTACTATGGTACCTGTGGTATAGCTAGGTAGTGCGCGTATGCGAGTCTCTGAATCATTATGCAACGGTGCAGAGTGTCATGATTTGAGGTTTTATATTAATCCGTATAAATGACATGGAGTGGCTTTTCGTAATGACAAACCATTTGAATAGCCGCGCCTGATAACACGGTCCGTCATTATCTATTTAAGCAAGGTTCCGAGCCTCGTGTACGTGCCACCGAAATCAATTTGTCCTGCATTCGAATAGGTTGTTAAGCGCGATGACATCAGTGCCAAACATAGGTTTTAATCGGTGACGTTTATGAAACACCTAAGCATACGTACTGGTCGGTGTTAGAGGACGTAATTAATTGTGACAGTACCTCAATTGTCATTCAGTCTAAAAGATACGTAGGTATATATATATGTATATATGTGAATAATAAATAAAACTGATCCTGACTACACCATTGAGAAAAATTGAATTATTGATATTAATTAAGCTTACTAAATATTTTTGATAACGGGTCATTTACAGTGTTATCGGAATAGCCGTTCGATAAGAGAATGCATAATATTCAGAGAAGACAAAAGAATTGGGTTTCGAACTACCAAGTCGTCTTGAAGTATAAATGTATGGCGATAGCATAGCAAGGCGAGCGATGCAATTAATGCCACCGAAGATAACGTCAGGATGATTAGTTAAGGCTGATATTATTCGTAAATTATAGAGATAATTTTCAGGGAGACATAAACAAAGTGTTTGTCAATAATTTTATTAGACGTCATTTTCGAGATCTGTCAGTATAGATATTTATCAAAGAGAATTTTGACACTTTCGTACGAAGAGATATTGAAATCAAATGAAATGCAGAGAAACGAAAAATGTGCACGTTGCAGTTAGCGGGGTCAAGTAAATGGATAATAAACAGGTATAATATCAGGATAACGATCCTTCTTGGAAGCTAGTTCCGCGAAGCAGAATTACGTCAGGTTTATTCTCGGCCAGTTTCATTGGACATTGGCGTAGAGGAGCTGGAATAATTATCCGCCAACACTGGTGAAACTTTCATAAGTTTACAAACCGAGGAAATAAAATTATCGTTATCGATCTATTACGAATCATTTGGAACATGATCTTTAGTCATTTGGCATTAATTCTCAGTTATTCTTAATTATGGTTGCTTGGTCCGTCGAGCGTAAGAGCATCGATATATATATAGCTGTAGTTTAGTATGCACTCACCACATCGTGACGTATGTCAGTGAAGTCGGTGATGACGTGTTCTTCCCTGACGTCACGGAAGTCCTGGATGGACGTGAAACTAGACGAATGCTCGACCGAGTAGGACGACGACTGTTGAACTACTTCGGACGTGTGACTGATATCCGTTACGTCGACTATATTTTGCCGATCGACGTTATCGATTTTTGACGTGAACGTCACGACGGAATCGGTTGGCTCGATCGACCTTGGTACGTAATCCTTGCTCGTATCGCTAGGATGACGCTTATCAGTTGGTTTCATAACATCGTCCTTTGGCTTTCTCGTATCCTGGGGTTTCGAGTCTTGCGGTTTCTTCTGATCCTGAGGCTTTTCATAGACGAACGAACCGTCCCAGGTTGAGGAGCCTGGTTTGCTCGGACGTACCGATCTATCGCCAGGACTCTTTTCGGGACTTCCTGATTTTCCTTCGGGCGATTTTCTATCAACTTGAGGACCACCTGGCTTTCTCGGTGAAATCTCCTCGCCAGGTCTTTCCGGTCTACCGTCATCAGTTGGTCTTTTACCATCTTGTATTTCCTGGACGATTTTGGAAATGCTGGACGAGCCCAAGGTCTTCGAATCTGTGCGAGATGATTGTTCGACCACGTGGGAGCTGCTGACAACCTCAGAGGAACTTTGCAGATTTTTCGATATATCAGAAATTGATATCGATGTTACGTGATCGGTTGATTGGATCGGTTCGCGTATCTTGACACTCTTCACCACGTGCGTGACTTCCGGTTCTCTTTTGTCGGCTGGTTTCCTTGGTTCGTCAGGTTTCTCCGTGACGAACGACCCATTCCAGGTAGAAGAACCAGGCTTGTCAGGTCGTACGCTCTTGTCGTCTGGACGTGGTGCTTTCCAATCGGGACTTCCGGGTCTGCCTTCGATAGTGATGGTCTTGCTGGTAGTTGGTTGCCCGTCAACAATGATGACAGTTTCTTTCGAAGTTGTCGAAAAGTCCACGTTTCGAGAGTCTGAATAGCTTTCGTGGGTAGTCGATTGCTCAACTATCAAGGAATTGCTGACAACTTCGCTATCAACAAGCGTCCTGATGTCATCAGTCAGATCCAAAGTGGTATCACTCACGTTCTTCCTGGTAACGACGTTGCCAGGTTTCCCTGGCGTACCCGGTTGACTTGGCTTACCAGCCGGACCTCTACTCGATGGTTTCTTAGCATCGTCACTGGGTCTTTTTGAATCCGAAGGCTTTTTTGCGTCCTGAGCTTTTTCGGTGACAAATGCTCCGTTCCAGGTAGACGATCCTGGTTTGGTAGTTCTAACGTCTCTTTCCCGTGGAAACTTCTCAGGACTTCCTGGTCGAACCTTGGGAGATTCCTGACGTTCACTTGTCGGTCCGCCTCTTGGGGTCCCAGGACGACCATCATCCTGAATAATTATCTCGGACGTCACCGACGAGATGCTGACGTCCTTGGCATCTGCGAAGCTTTGCTGACTCGAGGAATGTTCAACGATGTAAGAGGACGTTGAGATTTCTGCCTCGTTTATCGAATTATCTTCGGTGACGTCACGAATGTCAATCAGCCCGGTTTTTCTACCGGTTTTTTGTAAAATCGAATCCTGAGGAGCACCAGGACCCCGACGATCGAACGTCGGAGTCTGAGGTTTCTCGTATACGAAGTGTCCATCCCAGGTGGACTGTCCAGGTTTGCTACTCCTTGGGAACGTGTCTCTGGGTTTTCCCGGAGACCCGGAAAGACCTGGACCACCCTCTACGGGTCTTTTAGCAGAGACATCCTCCTCGAGAATCGTCTCCGAGACGGAAGTCACTTTCTCTACGTTCTTCGAATCGCCACTAGTGGAGTATTCGACGATGTAGGAAGCGGATACCGCCTCGGAGACGTTCTGCTCCTCGGTGACGTCCTGCACGTCGACGGAGTCGTTTCTCTTCCTCGTCGTCCTGACGACGGTCGAATCGGTCGTTCGTTTCGTTGTATCATCTCGCGGTTTCTCAATTACGAACTGTCCGTTCCAGGAGGAATCGCCAGGTCTGCTAGGACGTCCTGCCGCTGGTAATCCTGATGGACCTGGTTTACCTTGCGCCTTTCCATCGTCAACGTGAACGTAGCTCTCGTGGCTAACGTCCTTACGCTCGTGAGATATGAAGCTGGTGGAGTCCGTCGCACCTTTTGCAGTGCGAATCCTACTGGACGATTCCTTTCCATAGGTACCATCCTGACTATATTCTCTGGAGTCAACTCTTTCGGTACTCTCGACCATGTCCTGTCCAGGGTGATGGAAAACAGTCGCGTCCGATACGTTTCCTTTATGGGTGCCAAGAGGCTTCTCGTAAACAAACTTCCCGTCCCAGGACGAATCACCAGGTCTGCCGTAACGTCTGCGATCCTCATCAGTGCCTGTAACCTCACGTTGATCCACTATCTTCCTCTCATCTGTGTGATCAGTGGTATCGCTTATCACTTTGCCCGAGGAGTCATAGACAACGCTCCTCGTGACGGTACTATCCTGAACACTGCTATCCTGAACGACGGTACTGGAGGATTGTCTCTCGTCCACGTAAGATGACTTTTCCACAACGCTGGAGCTGGACCTGCGTTCATCCACATTGGACGATTTCTCGATCGTCTGACTGCTCGAAGATCCTCTCTTCTCCTGGACGTTACTGGATGCCGATTTTCCAGGGCTCCTACGATAATCCTCCTGAGGATGCTGGAAGACTTTAGAGTCCGAGACGTTCCTCTTGGTGGGTGTCGGTCTCTCGTATACGAATTTCCCGTCCCAGGTCGAGTCTCCTGGCTTGGTACGCCTCGCGTGAACTTCCTTATCGGACTTGTCACTGGTGACCTTCCTGCCGGTGCTGTCAACGATGGTCTTCTCGAAAACGATGTTGCTGGAATTCTGATCGACGCTTCTTCTGGAGCTGTCCGTGAGGCTGGACCCGGATCCAAGCTCCTGACGCGAACTGTGACTGACTCCGGTGTTTTCAATTGTCGATTTACCATCCGTGACCTTTGACCTTCCTGATTCCGGTGTTACGGTGGTCTGGCTGTCGATACTTCGACTGTCGCTGGAAGTGACTACGCCATTGTCATCGACCTTATGACCTGACTCGTGGATCTTCGTCGTGCTCATGACAGTCTGTCCGTCCTTGGTGACCCCTTGTGAGGCGACCTGGTCCGATGTTCTGGTCTCGCTCGATTTGGAAGAGGTCTGAACAATCGGCGCCGATCCATCGATTATTTGTTCCGACGACGCGGTGGACGAGCTGGACTTTTTCGTACTTTGGGAATGAGACGAAGTTTGACTTTGTCTTTGAGTCTGTAGGGATTTGCTGGAATGACCCGAAGTTTCACTCTGGCCAGTCTGAGCTATGGAGGAGCGTCCAGAGTCCTGAAGACTTTTCAAATTCTTTGACGACGTCGATCGATCGGTTCCCTCCAGGATCCTGGATGATCCTTGTTTGAAGGACTGTGTCTGTTCTCCGGCTATGAACTCCTGTGAACTTTTGCCTAGCTTCGAAGCCGAGGAGGCTTGCTTCACTGTCTTTGGCGCGTGCTCAATGACTTTAATGACGTTTCCCTTCGAGTCCATGATGACCTCACGGCTCGCGCTGCTCATCTCAACGACGCTACTCCTGGACTCGCTCTCGGCTACGTTCTTCGCCTCCTGGACGACGCTCGTCGACGATACGACCTCGGTCGACTGTACGCTCGAGGCCATCGAGCTCTTACGCGCCGCATCTGTCTTTGATGTGCTGGATGTGCTGGACGTGCTGGCCACTTCGCTGACGTTCTTCGTCGCACCTTTACTCTTCCCTTTCGTATTGCTTCCTTTCTTCTGAATAGTCATTTTGACGTTTAGGTCAACACAGCCAGATCGTAAATATTCGGTTTCTCCTTTACTTCTCACTGTTTACAAAGTCTATTCGTAAACTATCGACACGCTCGAATTACTCTTCCACGCGTAGCACGGCGATCCGAACAGATAAAAATATAATAAACGCACGAATCAAATACAATACCAGATCATCACTCGTGTAAACGGGTAAGTTAAATTTCAAATAAATAGAGTAAACGAACGAAAAACGATAATATAAATAACATCAACAAACTAAAAAAGATTCACAAGGAAGCATAACGATCTTCGAAATCTCAGTAAATTCCTTTCTCTCTCAATTATAACACTTTCCTTTCACTCGATTCAAACTCTTCGCGAATTTCTGTCTCTTCGCTTCTCTCGTCCTGCCTGCTCGTTCACTGGCTGCGTGTCTTGCGCGATCGCGGCTTAAAAACTGCCGATGGTCTTGACGGTTTCGTATCGCGAGTCGATGTGGCATCGGCTGCGCCTGGTAGACTCTAGTGACCAGATTCTCCAGCACTCTTTCTCTCGCTCTCTCTCTCTCTCTCTCGCTCTCCCACTCTCAGAGAATGGCAGAAAACGCACTCATAAACTTTACACACACACTCTCTCTCTCTCTCTTTCTCTCTCGGTGGACATACGAGACTCTCACAAGTGGCTAACAACGCTTGAGAACTCACGGCTCTCTCTCTCTCTCTCTCTCTCTCTCTCTCTCTCTCTGGTACCGATCTCTCCCTACTTCTGCTTTTTTCCAGCTCGCTCACAGCCGCGTGGGACGTTACCACATCGACACGAGCCATTTAGCAGCCACGCATTCACTGATCTCACACATGCCTCTCGCATCGTCTAATGACGATCGTACCTATACCTCCTATACCTCCTATACACCTAACCTAACCTAACCTAATCACTCTACGTGCCTTATGACTATTTACATCTGTCTCTCAGTGCGCGTGCGTGCGGTCCTCTTACGATTCACACACGCACCTACAGTCGGGCACATTCGTGGAACCGGTTCTCCCGCGCTGCACGCAGCGACACATCGCGAGACCGGTACCACAATTTTCAGGTAAACCAGGCGATGACGTAGCTCTCGCAAACGATGACGATTATCTACGAAAAACTGTAAACTGGCTATACGGGATCGGTTGTTCAATTTATTCACGTTGGCCACGTGACATGTTATTTTGGCCTACGTTGCTTTTGGGCATTGTTCTGTCGTCGCGGATATTTCTTCCGATTAGCGTGAATTTCGTTGAATTCACTTTGCCGTCACGTTATTCATCCATTTCCCAATTAAGCAGCAGCAACTCGCTGGACTTTAATGAATATTATTCTCCGGGAAAATCAAGGCAGCCGTTTATCGAATTCTCTTCGCGTAATATCGGCGCCATAATAAGATGTAAAGTATCGAGAGATCGACCCAATTCGATCGATTCCACTTTGGCATCCGTTTCTCGATTCAGATCGAGTCTCGTCGACTCCGCCTTAATCGGAAAGAAGTCTTTCGAGTTCTCAGCACGGTAAAAGGACGGAATGAATCTTTCGTACTGATTATTCGTAATAACGTAAAGAGATAAGACAGATAACGAGAACATTTATTTTTTGGGCCACAAGCGTTACCTCGTGACGTTCGAGAAAATTCAATGACGCGGTCGAAATTTTGAATTTTATTTTATAAAATCAAACTTTCAATCGAACCAACGACTTTGCCATTTTTTGTTCCAGGTTTCAAGTAACTCGACGCGTCAGTCAAAAAAAAAAAAAAACAATGTTGCAGCCGACGGCAGGAAGCAACCAGACACGCGTCTGCACCAACTTACGTATACGTGGACATATATAGGTATAAAAAAGTGCCAGTTCAATATCGGCGCCTTGCGTAATGCTAATTTATAACTAAATACAGTCACGCCTCGTCCTTCGAAGAGTCGGAGCATACGCGTCGGTTTACTCACTAGTCGCAAATACACTCTGTCGTGTTTGGGAACTCTTTCTCGGCACTTCGGTCCTGACTGTTTGGAATAACGATAAAGGAAAAATAAAAGGCAAGAGAATGGAATTCACTTTGATTGTCATAACGATGACGAACGGGAAGAAGAAAGTCGAATTTCTGGGATGCTGAGAGAGAGAGAGAGAGAGAGATTCGTATTTCTGGTAAAAGCAATAAAGGTTCTCAGTCATGAAGGTGTAATGGGTACTCGTTTCCTCTTATTGTTAAATCCATCTCTGTCCCTTTCGCACTCGCACGCTACACTCCTCCCAAAGGAGAAAAAGGCGTTACAAAGGGATTCCGTGTCTCTAGACGCGAATAAAACCTCTTCTCACAGCCGAGACGCTCTGCTATTTACTTAACGCGATAGAAGCGCAGAATCTTCAATCCTCCGGATACGTTTCCAACTAGCGAAAATGTCTCTTGCACGGAATTTCCTCGTTCAGTAGTGACGTCTATATATACAAAGTGAAAAGATAAGACGGAAAATTTAATCGATACTGTTAAAACATATGAACTTCGGTCTCGTAATATTTCGACCAAGCAAAATTCTCTGTAGGTTTCGTTTGGGGTCTGTAAAAAAAAAGGTCAAAGCGTGGGCAACAAATCGGCTATAGTCACTGTGCGGCGGCCGTGCAGGGCCGCACGGGCCGGACTGCCGTGTTTCTCAACGTGCTCCGTATTTGGTGAACGAGACGGAATCTGTGGGCGAACCAGAAACTCTGCAAGACGCGTCATCCGACTGCTGAGAGAATTCTTGCGATCGGTATACAAGCGATGGATTTTTTATGTTTATCGTGGAGACGCTTCGTTTCTACAGTATGGCAGATATTTTTTTCTAGTTTTAAAATTCAACCAAAGTCATGAAATTTTCAGTAGTCTGAATTTTGTTAATTTTAATAACGATTTCATTGACTCGTGACGTAGTACGATAAGATTTACGTTTTTTGAGTACGTGACACGTCATAGACAGAACCACCCACGCGATTCGTTCGTATGCAATAGCAACCATGAGTCTTCGAACGGCCTTGAACGGTCAGACTACCCACTATTTTACTCGGTTTTACCAATTTTGATGATTTCTTTGAATTTCACTTTAAATGGCGTTTACCGTGCATCTAGGACTCTCGGCTTCGTTGCAGACGATAAAGTTTAATTCGGGATTTTGTCGATCCGTGAATCATCCTTCGAATCTGCGCGAAGCTTCTGGAGAAACGGGGATGGTAAAAGGACAATGATAAAGTCTCCAGAGCCATATTTAGCTGTACATAGTGCGAACGGGAAGTCATTTCCGTTATTCATAGAATTTACGTTCTTGTTAGAAGCTACAAGTTCTTTTAGTCTTACGATGATTTCTGCTTGAAAATCCAGGAGATTCAGCATAGACAGTGGATTTGTTGTTTATGAATAATAAATCGGCTTGTCTCGGTTGGTTATTGTAAGGTTCTTTAACTTTCTGCCGAGACTCGAATTTGCTTCTCGAAGCAACCTGATATAACAAACTGCAAAGTCTCGTTGTTAATTAATCTTAAAGGTAAAATTTTCGAAATTGAATCGCTTAATAAACAGTCATATTCTCGAATAGTGCTTCTCTTCTTCCTCCCTTCGTTCTTACTTGAGTTCTCATTATCACTCGATAAAGTGAAAACAATTTTATCGGTCTTACCAGAGATAGAACCTTCCTCGACTATACACATTAAAATACCACATAAATCAATTCGGTAAAACAGATATGATTTTTAAAAAAAATCTCAGCATTTCAAACATTTAAAATGGGTTCGACTCCAATGGAACGTCAAAGCTATGACGTCACCAGAAGTAAGGCCATATGTGGTCATTCGCGTACGACCAATTGGCCCCACTCGAGTGTTATGGTTAGACCGGCGAAATTTGAGCTTTGAAAATATAACAAAAAAAATTTCTCCAATTAATGCATGTAAATCCTCGAGACGAATAATTCGCCCGAGTAAACCGCATCCTGTTGCAACTCGAGCTCGGTAGCTTATCCCCTCGTTATTTATTCACTGGACAAACTGTTTACTCGGGCAGAGTATTACACGGGAAACGACAAGAGGATTTCGGAACAACAACAAATCCGACGAGTTTCCTTCAGGACGTCGTAAAAGTGCACAAGCCTGCATGGCCGAGGTGGCAGCCGTGCAGCTGCAGGGCCGAAAGATTTCGAGTGCATTTCCAGCCCATGATGTCACTAACTCTTTGGTCTTGGCTTCTTTCTTTTTTTCTCTCAAGATAAAGCAAACGCGAGTCGAGTGTCTGGTTCGTAGAAATAATGCGGAATATTTAAGGAATCCTGCGCCAGTTTTAATAGGCAAACAAAGCCAATTACGTCGAATGTAAATAAAAGAATATTCCAACTGTCGTAGAATCGAACGAAGGAATCCTTCGACTTCGCATTTATTCGGCCATGACACTAAAGCACAACGTATACAGTGTCTCTCAAACGAGGTCGACCGTCTGGCCTAAGAAACTGTCAAGTTGTGGCACGTTGCTAAGGTGAATAAAAAAGATTAATCTCATGGGATTAAAAAGTCTTAAACCACCTTTGTCCTTCGAATCGACTAAAACATACATGTTTCGCAATCAGTTCTGTCCACGTGTCTATTTTTCATATTGTTACTGATCGTAAGACACTTTTATGTCTACAGGGCGATTCAACCGAAATGTATCAGCTCGGCGAACGACCACACGACACTCATCGAATCTGACTGATAAATCCAATTTGTACAGGTCTCCGTATGTGCGTGTGTAAAACGCGTTAGTCAAATAGTCAGTTCCTGCCCGTCGATTAATCCACGTATAAATTCAATTGAAATCGCCACGTTGTTGGCGAATCGGCAAAATGCGATTTTGTGGAGCCACACTGAATAAAGCTGCGACATAGGAAATTTACACGATTATCCATAAATGTACAGCTGCATCTATACGAGTTCGTAACCCCGACACTTTACTAGCAGAAATATATGCATATGGTATATGTGGCTATATATATATATATATCCTGATATAGGTATGTCTCATCTAGTTCCTAGTATAAGAAAAATAGTCGATGTCGGGCAGAAATATATGCATATGGTATATGTGGCCATAGGAAATTTACACGATTATCCATAAATGTACAGCTGCATCTATACGAGTTCGTAACCCCGACACTTTACTAGCAGAAATATATGCATATGGTATATGTGGCTATATATATATATATATATCCTGATATAGGTATGTCTCATCTAGTTCCTAGTATAAGAAAAATAGTCGATGTCGGCTTATTGTTGGACAAACTGGACACATGTGCCACGTGGTCTTGATGTTACGTCGATCTGGCGGATTTCTAGTATTTATAGTATATGTAAGAACCATACTGTTTGTATGGATACGCGTGTTTAACGATGTACACGAATGTGGGGAGTACAGTTTATTACAGTTTATACAGTTTAATTGAAGTAATTTTATTTAAATTCTTACATTAGCAATCGTTGTCCTTTTCTTTTCTCTCTTTCTAACCTACGGTAGATACTAACGTGTTTATCGATAAAACAATGGTTGGACTGTATATTATATATCTATACTATGCAGCCTTTGACGTTTGACCTGCATTCGTAAAATTGCTTCGCTTGATTTTCCATTGTTTTTACAGAAATAATTATAGTTGGTATGCCATGGGTACGGGGGTACGTAGACTCGTTGGAATTGGCGTTGGCAGGTTTGTAACTTCATTAGCATCTTTATAACTCACTGTTGCTACAACATATGGGATGAACGTTAAGGAATTTTAATGCTCTGCAAATATTTGGCAAATTTAATCGCGTGGCAAAAGGTCAGTTAAAGGGAGCTTATCACTTTGCTGTACTTTCGGTACCGTGCGAACGGCTGCACATGAGCTTGCTTTTCTTACCTTCTACTATTCTATTATTGTAGATTGGTATATCCACTTTTCCCGTATAACATCTGTTTTAGCATGATTCAGCATATATGCTTCTTTTATGTGTAATCGAGGAAAATAGCGGTATGATTTATGCATAATTATTCTAATTTGCTCTGGTATGTCGCAGATAATTTAAATGCAATACCAACCTGAAACCACCTGTATAGAATCTGGCAACGTCATTCGTTCCTGTCGTCCGCTTCCTCCAGTTGCTTTTTAAAAATTTAACGCCATTTTACGTTATCATAAAAATTCATTGACGGCGAATACGGATTTTAAATGGTATGATTTGTTTTAATTATTTTACATTTAGAGAGTAATTATGGGCCAAGCACCGAGGACATTTTATGCTTAAAAAGATCACGGTACTCGTAAAGCCTTTTTCTTAGGAACTTTTTATATCGTTTGACTCAAAATTCGTAACTCGGGAATTTACGAAATGGAGTCTTTCTCGGCAATTAGCTGAATGTTGCGATGTCATTGTTTTCGGACTTTAAGGGAATTTCGTGTCTTTCGAAATAAAGCGATTTTGTTAAATGAGAATGAGACCCGTCGGCACTACAGCGAGAGGCGTCGCTTTTCGACGGGTAACGAGGAAACGTACGGAACGCGTCGTTAACGCGGTTCGTCGTTCACTGACGAGTTTAACGAGATACCGAAAAATCGCGGCGGCCTCACATTCCCGCGCCAGACGTCGTTGCCATGGGATACGACGTTAAACAGACGGTGCGCCGTCGCGTTACCTTCACCCAGTGCAACCACGAAATGCAGCCCGACGCGGCTGACGTTATCGCTGCTATAGTTATTTACCTTCATTGGCTACACTGATTATACTACTAATGACAGTGGATACTTCAAGCGTCGTCCTGGATACCTGGATACACAATCGGTGCGCCGTCGCGACGTCTCTCCTTGGTACTTTTTGTCGTGGAGTTCGCTCAACTCTGCTAACGAATTTCCTATTATTACAAGAATCTAAAAATAGCGAGAAACTTTCTTTAGCTTTCGTCTAACATTATCACTCACGTTTTATCAGTCATGTATGTGATGGTTGGTTCTAATGAACGTGACATAACGTATTCAAAAACTTATAATTTCAGAATTACTATTTTTTATAGCATATGACTGATTTAGGCATAATGGTTTGATACGATTAGTGAGATTTTATAACTTCCACTAAAAGCAGAGTTCTAAAGAAATTCATTTGAGATAAGTTTATTGACCTCTGGTACCCTTGAACTTTGACACAAGGACCTATCCAACAAATGATTCCAGCTTTGAAAGTGAATAGTTCAGAAAAGACTTTTGTTTGTGAAAACAAGCGTATGAACTTTAATAAATGGAGTGGATTGAGATTGACCATTATAACAGTGCCGGTAGTAAGAGTAATATTTTTAATTACCTATTGAGACTAATGCTACGTTATGATATTAAAAAATAGAGCAATAACTTATTACTGTATGTTATTATTTAGTATTTATATTTATTACATTTTGCTTAATCACATTTTTTCATATCAATAATGAAGCTTGACAGACTAGGAGAAATGAAATACTCTGTATATTCTGAGAAGTATATATTGTAATATAAAAAAATATATTGAATATTAACGTTCTATTAATATTAAATATTCTATGGCCAAACAAATGCTATCAATATATGATATAATTATGACATCATAACACATTATGTCTTTACCTTAATTGCTAAACTTTTTAAAAGAAATCTATAGAGCTATAAGTACAGACAGTAATTGTACGCTTCAGAGGAAGTGCAGTATAACGGAAACAGCCTCATAAAACATAATCCAATATCCAACGAAAAAAGATAATGCTCTGTGGGGTTGTTTAGGAACAACAGCATAAAATAAACTGTGTGTGCATCTTGAAATTGCAAAGGCACGGATGAGCTGAGTAGCTAGCCAAACGGAAGGACCAGTTTGCAGCCAAATAAATGTAATTAAAAACCAGGGCAAAATATTTTCAAGATCATTCTGATGTGCTCTACGTACACGCTCCACATCTGGATCGTCATACTTGACCTTTGCGTCTGATTTATTCATAAGATCCTCTGAATTAGCAAACACCTAAAACAAAAATGAACTATTAATTAGTAATATTATACATTTATTCATATAGCTACACAGAGAATAATAAAATACATGAAACTATTACATATCCCAGAAAAGAAGGATGATACAAAACATGTTAATACGATACAATATAATACTCTACAAATAATTGAACTCGCTATCTGAAGCAGAATAACTAGAAAAAGAACTTGTTATTGATCAAATGATGCAACTGACATAGATACACATGAAGTAACAGCATAATGGCATATTTGATCAATAATTATAAATAAAAACATTGAACGAACTTACCTTTTTTGCAAATCGCTGTTTTGCAGTCAAAAGTGCCATACTCATAATCTTTAATATCAGAATACCAGACCAGAAGGCAAATACTCCGAAGAGTTGAGGATCAATTTCGATAGCCATTTTAAATGTTTTACACGCTTAGAATTCCAAGATAAAAGGCGTTACCGCTGCGAAATACACCGCTTGAATCTTGTACTTTACTAGAATCTTATAGAAGCTTGAACGGCTTTTTATGCTTTCGTGGCGGAAAGATGTAACTTGCTGTGTCACGTTAATGACATAACTAGTAGGTATATCATTTTTTAAATTTACTGTACAGAATATTGTGTAGTGGCTGTATTAGTCAGATAAAGCTGTTTCCTACTCTATCTGGATTTACTAATCCGAGCTTCTTGATTGGTTAAAAGAAAACATGATGGGAATGTGAGAGCCTGAATGTTAAAATTATTATTTCATTATAAATTTTACTTATCACTACTTTATGTAACCTTGTAAAAAAAAAGAATGTAAAGTTTGATAACATAAGAAGCAAAGAGGAAGCTGTATTCAGTAACTGCTGTAGGACTTGCGATAAACTTAGTGCCTTGTTATAGTTCATAATAAAAAAATACAATACATTGTGGTTTTCATTATGAATTAATACTTTAATTAATTAATATTTAAAAATAACACAGGATCACAGAAAATCTTAGGATGCTCACCTTCGATATGATATACACCAACGCTATCTCACAGTACTCTAAGAAACTTTATCTAGAATTATTACTCTCAAGATACATTCTAACTGACCGACCATCGTATTCAAATCAATAAGATTACATTCTAACCATTGAGGAGGTTATGAATGAGCTTTAAGCATAAACGAAACTAAAATTTGCCATAAAATATGAAACCTCGTCTATTAAAGAAAGACGAAATCATTATTAGGCTAGAAATAATTGCATTTATCTTACGATAAGCAACGGTATTTTGAAAAATCTAAATTTTCAAACGTAACGGTAATTCAAACTCACTACGTCCATTTAACGAACAAACTAATAATGGCACACAGCTTTGCGCGTGCGCACTAAGCAACGGTGACGACAGAGCAGCACGTCAGCTGTTTTGTTAAAGTCGAGGTGCACGCATTGGGAATGGTGTATTGTTGATCGTGGGGACACTTCGCAGTTGAGAACACGAAGGACGCGTTCCTTTGTTTATTGGACGATTCGAGTTTCGTAGTTAATTTCGAAGAAGCGCGATTATTCGCGGTTTTGGTGAGTACCTGCAGGGGACGCGTTAGTGCGGAAAGAGACCTTCGCCAGGGTAGCTCACATCGTTCTCACCTAAAAGAGACCGAAGAAAACCGTGAAGCTCGCACTCGTGTGCGTCCACGACGTAACTCGTCGAATCACAAAGGCGTCCATCCGTCCATTCGAAGCTTGGTGCTGGTGTTGTTGTGAAGGCTTTACAGAGCTTATTTATAAAAGCTTACGACCACGTTCTTCTTCACCTCCTGGTGAGGTGCACGTTCCTCGACTTCGTGAACCTACAAAAATGGCACAGCCCACGAGTAGCGCCCTCAGAGCCCTGGCTCTCGAATACAAGAGCCTTCAGGAAGAACCTGTCGAGGGCTTCCGTGTGAAACTCGTCAACGAGGACAATATGTTCGAATGGGAAGTCGCGATCTTCGGTCCACCAGACACACTTTACCAGGGTGGATACTTCAAGGTTAGTGGACAGCTCCCTTTCTTTCTTTCTTTCTTTTTCTTTGAGGATCTTTAATATTCTACGGACAAATGCTTAAGTCGTGTACATTTGAACGTTTGGAATGATGCCCAATTTACGAATCCGTGAAACATGGTTCATGGTCAGTTTTGTATGAATAGCTTTATTCGCTGACTGTAGGAAGATCGCGAAAAAGAAATATGAGCAATGCATCATTTTGTAGAACGATGGAGAAGAACGCGTCTGCATAGCCGCTTTCCTATACATGTGTAATTTCATTGTAAGGAAATAGCTATTTGTCAGCAGGATAGGAAGTAAACTTGTAAATAACTGATAAAAACTGTGATTATCACAATAGCATTTTTCTTTATCTAGTGATACCAAGAGAAATGACTTTTACTACAAAGTTTAGGCTCCAAAATTTAACATTATTCTATATTCTAACAGTTTCTTTTTTTAAATATATACACCAACCAACCAATATCCACTGTAGTTACCATTTTAAATAAAGTGTATTTTTTTCGTGCAGAGGACATTGCAAGATTTGCCTTGCAAAGTTCCCCTATCAGATTAACGTTCACAGTTCATAATAAAAGCCAATTACCATTTCTCTTTCATGCACTTCTGGTTGACTGCAGTTTCTAAACTGCAATGCAATTTTCGCAATTTCTTACTCCTGCGTCATTGTCATTTGGTAGCAACGACAGTCAGTCACCCTTTATCCAGTCTAAAACGAATTATTTGCATCGAACATTTGGTGCCAAATATATGTCACACATATCGAAGAATCTTTTTTTTCTCTGCAATACCGCTAAATAAATAATATCAATGATTAACGTTTCAAGATAAGTTCCCGTATTTCGTGCGTCACGTGGACGCGGCGATTGACACGTGCAATTACAACAAAGAAGATACTGCTACGTTATAGGTACACAGAGACAAAAGGAATAATGATAACAATTTCCAGGATGTTATCTGCTTTAACTGTAAGGTATCGTAAAGTAACGTCAACTCGGTAATAGTATTCAATTTGCGTCCGTTTCGTGAGTAGTAAACATATCTCGTTTTGAAGTTACTAAAAGTTTAAACGAATTCTCGGATTTTCTTACGTTATTCTCCTCCAGCGACACGCTGTCAGTTGGAAGAGGCTGTTCCGTAGAGAATCATGCGGATCTCTCGATGCGCAAAAGTTTCACTATACGTATATACTGAACAGCGAACAAACATCTCACGTTGAAGAACAAGTTTTCAATGTGCTTGGTGGACACAGACACATATATCCATAGTATACGGCTTTTTTACACAACAAAAAAAAAACAACAACTAAAAATATCAAAACAGTTCTGACCTGGAAAAAAAGCATTTCTCCTGAATAGAAATTTATTTGCCGAAACGATGCTTCAAAGCCGTCAACTCAGTCAACTACGTCAAAATACGTCAACTCAGTTCCGTCAAATCGAACTACAGCGAATGTATACCTAGAATATTATCAGAGTCAATTACGCACGTCTCTCTTTGTGTGGGGGGGAAAATAGATATGAAAAACAAAATTCATCCCATTGGGTGCATTAATAATTCTTAAAGTCGGATCGAAGCTCGTTTGCGCTCATTTCCAAATGTCCGCAATGTCAACCTAGTGCAATTTCGCTGCACGCGAGCAGAAGTTGACATTACCTTGGCCGCCGGGGCCAGTCGGATAGTAGTACGTTGTGCATCATTGATTTTTCTATGGGGAAGACCAATTTTACACGGTAACAAGTTACGACATGCATTCGCGCGTGCAACCACCTGGGCTCGTCGCAGTCACCTTTTCACGTGTCTCCTGATAAAAGATATCTACGAAGGCAACTGGGAGGAATATCAAATGGGCGCGGGAGAGAATCGAGAGCGACACGGTCGCTCGTTCTCGTCGTCGATCGGCTCCCTGGCATTAATCGACGCGCGAACCGATTTCTTTCTTGGCTTGGGAATTTAAAATTGCGAAGGAGCTCTTGCCCAAGCAGCAGTGCCAGCTTTGCCATAGCGCTTATATTATATCGATGAACTAATGCAATGGGATCATCGTCATCGTTGGTTGACCTGCATTCTCGCGCAATCCTCTCAGGTCCCATTCTCATTGCGCTACAAAAGAGACACAAAGAGTCAGCGAAGCTCGTCAAATCGTCTGGCGATTGTTTCGAAGACTCTCAGTCACGTAAATAACGGAGGGAATTAGTGTGACAGGGGAATCTTATTCTATATATTTTAGTCGCTCGTGTTTTTTGTTTTTCTTTTCTTTCCCTATGGCACAAGAATCAGGTACCGTCGGACGGGATCGATAAAACCGCAGCGGAAGGTCCTATGAGACAGGAGTTACGTTGTCTGCGACAACTCTGTAGACGCATTACGGAAAAAATATTGACTGTTTTCATTGGCACATGGCGCACGTGGTATTCGCCGAGAGATTAGAATCTATCGCCTTGAAAACAGCCCAATGTGCCTTCTTCAAGAAAAACAATTGATTACACGTATACGCCGAGGTTACATTTCATAAAGGCAAATAAGAGTTAGTACGAACCGAGCTTCTCCGAGGATGTTACAATAAAATTTTTAATTTCTGGTCGATCGTCTGATCGTTGAATATCCACGAGTAAAAAGTGCCGTGTTATCGATGTCTCTTCCCGAGGTCGTTAATCATCCTCAAGAGACATCGAAAGAGCAGATGCAGAACCATATTAAATATGAAGAGCCTATTCGTGTAGTTTGAGGAACGCATGAAGCAATCTTCGAGGCCTTCGATAACCCGGAAATTCGAAAGAAAATGGAGCGGGGTCGGCCATTTCGAATGGTCCCTCAAACATCGCCACGTGATCGGCGATGATTTTCCAGCTTTTTGGAAAGTCTTTCCAGCGCGTGACCACGAAATTAATTATTGTCGAGGCTTTTTAATTATCGCGCTAAGCCAGCTGACTGGAAAATCTCGAGACTCGAAGGACAGAAATATTCTCGAACGTACCGAGGTGTCCCTGTACACGTTCAACTATTCTTCCTTCTCTCTTTCTTGTCCTCTGTCTCCTAGCTATCTCTCCCTCTCCCTCTCTCTATCTTTCTGGCTACGTGTACCACCGACCGTAGGCGCGTTTCGCTCGACTCGCGTTGTCCGCTTTCTAAACCACTCTCTGCTTCGTTGTGCTAGCCGACTGCTGGTCTCTCGCCAGTCTCTCCTCTCTGCATAACGTAACGGGTCCTCCTCTCTCTGTAATAACGTAACCACCGACGGCTACCTAGCTGCTGCTATAGTAGGACCATGGCAGTTACGATGGTAGCTGCAGCGCCTATACTAGCTGGAGTTATAGCAGCTAAACGTCCAGTCCGACTCTGTAGCCATAGGTACAGTCACGGAACTAGAGAAAGAGAATGCTGATAACCGGCACGATTCGCTCTCATTATTCTGGACATTCGATTTTTGGATAAACCAAGTGAACCGATCGCGTGTCTCCTGACTTTCCCGTAAAGCATACTTCACTGCTAACAGCACGAAATCTCGAGGCTGCGGAGCTTGCGGTATCGGGCAATCGGCATGAGCTTTCAGCTTCGCTGGCTTAGAAGTCACTGCGCTCTTCAAGGATAACTCTTAGGCTTTGCACGTGGCTCGTATCATCCGTTGAACAATTTTTCATGTTTCGGAAGTTCGCAGCCATACTTTCTTCTTTCTCCTTTCACCGATTCCTCGTACAGTTGCTAGAGCGTTCTATAAATAGAAAAGAGATCCGAATTACTTCTTTATTCTGTATTCAGTATTACCGTTTGCCGTGCGCGTGACGTTTGAGTAAATTTTATGCTTTATTTCAATCGAATGGACAAGTTGGATTTATAAGTTTTTTTTTCTATACAAACACTGTCAGGATTTTCTGCCATTGGGTAGGACTGCTGCTCCGACACGTGACTGTGCTTACTCACACTGGCTGCTCCTCTTTGCTTTACCTACACAAAGTTCTCGGTAGGATTACGAAGCGGCGGCGGAGACCCAAGGAGGCCAGGTTTTCTCGACTGGCCGATCCCGATAACGGCTCGCCGCTCCGTCGCTCGCCGAACCCACGTTCCCGATTTATTTCGAGACTTCCCGATAGACGCAACCTGGATTTCACTCCTTGTAATATTGCGACCCGCTCGAAATACACGAGAGCTATCCTTCTTGCTGGGTCTCTCTGGTCGACTCCCTCGGATCAGAAGTTGGGTTAGGTTGGGTCGGCAGGCATCGAATAGCACGGAGAATGGGTAGCAGGGCAATTATCCTGGATGCATTTTATTATTATTTTTTTCCCCGTATAGTTTTCAAAGATCGTCTCTGCTGTCGCAGCAAAGGACCTGGGGAATCGAAAGATTTCTTTGGGCAACCTGGAGACATCTTGAGTCAGCAAACAACAGCGGCTAGCACTGTACGTAACTGTGAATTGTAGTTGAGCCCCATTTCTATGAAGCAACTCACGAGGTGACGTGCAGATTTCTGCTTAGCGAAGACGGAACGACTACTGGTGAAAGTTAATCGGGATTTTCTCATCGATCATTCGATCCGTGCAGAGGCACCGCGTTAGTAAGAATTATTTTAATTTATCTATAGAGCCAACGGGACCCGTTAACTTTTTACAGCGACAAAGCGCCTTCGCGTTACGTTTATTCCTGTCGCAACGCGCGACCCTAGACGTGTCGAGCGGGACTATTTTTTTTCTTCAATCTTTCGTTTTTCTTCTCGGCCGATCGACGCGGAACCAATGTGAACGAAGCCGAGGATTTTCTATTTTCGAAAGGTGCCCTGTGCGCGTCCGTAACGATGATGTTTCAGGACCCCGGAGAAAGACCGTTTTCGATTGATCGGTTGTATCCGCAGTCCGACTTTATGGAATCGTCGATCAGGAGTCGCGCCACGAGTCGTGCATGGGACGTGTTGCTTTTCAAGAATAATATTTGGTTCGCGCTCGTCCAAATACCAAAGTAGGTTAATTCTAAGGGGGGATTCCCAAAGGACGGGCAGAATATTTGGGCCATGACCAGGTCGCGATCAATATAGCGCGTCCCGTTAGCGAAGCCTTCCTGAAGTCTCTACCGAAAGCGACGATCACTGCCTTCTAGGATCTCCTCGGTAGAATTCAGAGTGACTCTGACCCGTGAAATCAGCTGACACTCTCTACTCTCTTAGCGGCCCTTTCTCTTTTCCTTGTGCCTCATTCTCATCAAGGATTTCGGAGCAGCCGCAGGAAAACGCACAACGGAAGTCAGATTGACGCGTTACAAATCCGCATTTCCACCGCAGCCCACGTCGGGCTGACGTTGGAATTGCATTTGGGGCAACCTCCCTGCTCCCTTTTCCCCCATCTCGACGTCCGACCACCCCCCGCCTCGCGCTTCTCCTCCCACGCCGGTGCTTCTTCCCCGAGATAATATTCGTGACTGGTAAAATGATCCAGACGGAGAAGCTTGTGCATATTCGACGTATAGGCGAAATATAATTTTCAACGATTTTTTGGGTCTTCGTTTTGGCTTTTCCAGGGCGCTTGAGAATTTCGTCGGATTTTTTTGGGGGGTCGCGCAGTTGTCTGGGAAGATGGCTGCTCGCACGCTGACGACGCTTTGGTTATCCGAAGCGGGTGGGAACGCGGGCAGCGAACGATGACGAGGAGTACAGTGGCTGCGTGAATGACCTTGTCCTCGCCGGTGAACGGAACGTTTCTTTCTCCTTCGTCAATTTCTACGGTCTCGCTGTGCCTTTTCGACCGACAGACGATTTGTTCGGTTCGCTCGGTAGTAATTTGTCTCTTTTTCTTTGTTTCAGGCACACATGAAGTTTCCCCCGGATTATCCGTACAGTCCGCCGAGCATTCGTTTCATGACAAAAGTCTGGCATCCGAACGTGTACGAGGTGAGTTTTCTACATGAGTTAGTATCGATTTTTATTGTCGGACGGTGGCTTCTTCTATTTCTCTCCGATTATGCGGAATTACATGCGTCGGGTATCAATCCGAACGAGGAATTCGTACAGTCTGCTATTCAATTGGAGAACGATGGAGTCATTGACGCCAAATCATTTGATTACCCGCACCGAAGTATGGACAAAAAAAAGCAATCTGAGGAATTTCGATTTTGCGTTATTTACAGTACAAATATATTTTTTAAATTACCGGAGTATGCTTTCTTCTCAAAGTGGCTTGGCGAGAGGGGGGGGGGTGGT